GCGATGTGCTTCATCACATGCAATATACCGTTTTATTTCCTAGTTACACGACTACCTGCTCAGATATGGACAAAGCAGATGATTTGTGCTATTTCAAAAGCGATTTTGGTTCCGCGAATTATCAATCAGGTGTGGACCTCGCCTTAGGCATGCATCACCATTAGGGGTACGACTATTCAATACGTTGATATCGATTCCTATGCTCAAGATATTAAATTAGACTTCATCATCGTCATCAGCCATTGTTTATCCACTGTTGGATGAAGGCCTCCTCACGCCATCCCCAACCTTAAAGGTCGAGTGGCAGAATTACCCATCCCACTCATGCAAAAGAACTGATCTCATCGCTCCATCTCCGCGGCGGGCACATTCTTGTACGCTTGCCCTCCTTCGGCTCCCATTCTGTTAACAATCTCATCCCCTGGCTATCACACCCCGGCGCTTACAACTGCAGAGCTCGTTACGATGACGCTGATTCCGCGTACATTAATGGTCACGGTGCGCCTTCAATCCCTCATCTACCAACACCCCTCCCCAGTCAAATACACTCTAACCTGACAAGTCACACACAAACACCGACTAGGAAACGCCAAATCCCACACGGAGGTGTGACGTGAGGACTGGCGCTTCAAAAACCCTGCACCGGCACTGCCACTCAGTTCATAGCTCCGTTACTCCCTCCTCGTCATCGTCGTCATCATCTCAGATTATGAACAAGCTCAGATTTGCTGACGATGAGTTGTGACAACCAATGGAAGTGAACTTTAGAAAATAACTCAAACACTTAACAAAAGGCCACTATGTGGAACTCAGGATATATATGAGAAAAAATAACAAAACTGTGGCTCCTCCATGTCCCAACAGACTCCGCGCTCGGTATCCGTGACCCTAAGGCCATCGAGATAATAGCAGAGGGGGTAGCCTCTGCTCGTCCATCTTTGATTCTCCACGCATCCACGGACACAAACGCGCCGTTGTATTTTTGGCCGTGACGCACACACAAAGCGGCAAACGGGGCCTGGGCGAATCCCGTTAGCACACCAGCTCGCCCGCCCACCCTCTCGCTCGGTCGTCCACTCGCCCGCTCTTCCGTCCATGGGCGAGGATACCCATGGGATAGCGCGCAAGGGCGGTTCCTCTCCACCACAAAGGCGAGGATGAGGATGGGGGTGGAGGAAGAGAGGGTGAGGATGGGGGTGTAGGAAGAGAGGGTGATGGGGGGGTGAGTCCCATCACATGAGCAGCTGGCCGGACAAAACACTGTTCGTCATGAGTGCTGCGTATGACCTGTCACACTGATGCCAGATTGTTTGGAGGGAAAGGCAATGGCCAGCCATGCAAGTGCTCGCCGAGGTGCATGGGCAGCCAGTGTCCAGTACTATGATTAATGGCTAACCATGCAAGCAGCTGGATGTAGAGATGGCAATCCATATTAATGGCTAGGGTATAGTTGGGTAGCCACATTAATATGCATGTGGACAAGACGGCTTAGCTCTACTACTAGTGGCTAGCATATAAATGACATGGCCATACTTGTGGTTAGCACACAGATGGCTGGCCAAATGAGAAACTCCCGTACATTGGGCTGGAAATATAAATGGCCGATTGTATAGAGCCACACACCTTGGCTGGATGCAGAAATGATTGGCCAGGGATGAGTGAATTCCAACGCCTATGTAATTGCTGACACACAGCTGATAACGCAAAATAGCCTTAACAGACTGTTTGGATAAGTGCTATTGGCCGGAATGGCCAATACCACGTCTAGCCACATGTCTCCCCAGTGCCGACGATTTACACACTGCACCAGGTACTAAAGTCGACCTAGGGGCCCCAAGGACCTGTTTAGATATTTGCCACCGATGTTGACTCGAGCAAGAATCCAACTTTGTTCGTCAAGTTCGTAGCAGTGCGCTAACTCACAATCAGAATATTTATTCATACTGGAGGAATCCGATGAGCTATAAAGCTCTTTTTCACAGATTCCCAGTAGATGAGAAGCGGTGCAGCCAAAACCACAGTACTACCGCGCCACCCTCCCCATTCTTTGTCTTTGCTGATAAGACGCGCACACACACCCACTTGAGACACTATAAACACTAAACAGCCACTTCAATGAAGAGCAGCAAGGCAATGCCTGGAGTAGGCAGCACAGCGAGTAGGTTTCTGGATGGATTTCTGAACAGCAAATTATTGTTGTTGTTCGCCCAGCAGTGCAGGGTTCCTTCGGATATCCCAGGGGTTCTCCCGCTTATGGAAAAATTGTTACAGGTCAAACGTTCTATGCAACACCATCCTAAAACGAATTTGTAACTCCGCAAGTTCCTTTGTTCCTCAAAGTTAATTATACACATTTAGTAGCTAGCTGGCTGCCAGGCCAGGATTTATCGATCGTGCGCATTTTATTTAAACAATGGTACAAATTCCTTAAGTACTCTGGCCTATAGCAGTATAAATGGGTACACAAATACAGCCAATCGGAAGGTGCCGTAACCTTCCTTGGAACTCTTGGTTCGCAGATGCAACGCGCTCATTGGCCGAGCATGATGTCACCCGCCGCGGCGAGGGCTCTCGGCGACTGTCTTAACGTTACCGTTCAATAAGAACAAACGTCCGGCGGCCACCTTGTAGCGCCACGACAGAGCGCTCTGCCCCCACTAAACACACCCACCGTTTTTTGACTTTTACGTGTAATTCATGCGATAAGAGGCAAATTTTTGACTGTGCAGTCCTCCAAAGTCAGATTCATCAACAGAGTAACGCTGATGATCATCGTGTGATTTACAATTTACAGCTCTTCATCGGGATCTTTATGCAGGAGGAATCCGATGAGCTATGAAGCTATTTTTCACAGATCACGAATGGATGAAAGTCTTCCCACGACGCCTTTCGGCCATGGGGGTTACTTGACCATACTTTACCACGCTGGTCAGTGCGAGTTTGGAGAGGTGATGTGGCTAGAAATGGTTCAGATATCACTCGCCAATGATGTTAGCTGGGCTGGAATCACACTCAGGCATCGGGGGTTCGAAGCACAATTGCACTAACCATTGTGCCACCGCTCCAGCAAATATTAAACCAGGTCTGATAACGTTGAGACTTAAAGTAGATTTTTGAAGGCATAACCAGACTCATAAAAAAAACATACTGTAAATAGCGGATCAACCTCAACAAATCAAAGCACTCGCCATTTTAAAATTCTGACATTTAATTTTTTTAAGTAATTCTCATCAGGATCAATGATGTAAAGTGCAGTCTCCAACTCTTTACTATCCACCCTTGTCTGGGCGTTCTTTTCATGTGCTAAGAGGGCCCATTGGCCAAAATGTCGCCTATATGTATTTTTTCCTTTTAAGGCCGCACAGTGTTGCTGACGAATGCGGTGTGTTCGTTGTTACTCATTGTGCTTGTGCACCAGTGCCAACGCAGCAACATCACCAAAGAATGTTTAACCATCAGCCATGGTCAATCCACTGCCACCATCTCTCAATATCCCGTGATGCAACAATCTGGGGACTGTTGGTTCGCAGATGTTGAACGATGACATCAGCCCATACGAGCTGCTGTCATTGTTCCGTCTCCTTGGTGGATACAAAAAAAAGAGAAAACCTATTTAAAATGTAAATTACATGTACAATTAAAATGTACATTTTAAATGAGATTACACAACAGCTCAAAAACATTTGCATTGGTATTGTCTGAATAGTCAATGGTTCTCTACTAAGGTAAGTGTCTGTCTAGCCCATGTAAAGGACAACTATAGACCCTCTTGCTGATGTCTACCACAAACCTGAATATCCACAGATAAACGCGAATAAATAGTATGAATTTGGTGCACGTGGGTCCGAACTATTATTATCCGCATAAAGGGCCAACACTTTATGAACTTTCACACTACCGGGAAAACCAATTCCGGCCAAATTAGAATCATGGATTACAGGAAGAATCAGCAAAATTGGAATGATTGCGTATCGATTGGAGGCAAAAAAAGTGGGTTAAAAGAATTGTACGATACAGTGCTGTGTTATGCCACGTGTGACTATTCCAGCTGGAACGAAGTTCAGAATAATCAACGTTTGCTTAAATATCTAAAGTTTACATTTGGGCTATTGGCAATTATACCAATCGGAGAGAATCATGGGGACTGATTAGGGTTGCTGAATTAATGATGGTGCCTGATAACTTGGTAGGTTTGTTTATAAAGTGATGCTTATTACATAACTGATGATGGTGCCGATGATCATCTAGATGCTGATGGTTATAATGCTGCTGATCATTATCATCACCCATCATATGGATGATGATCAAGCTTCTGATGATGATTTGTTAATAATGACCACCTGGCTACTGATGATAAAGATTATTATTGTTCCCACTGGTGCTGATAATAGCAATAAAAAAGCTTACACTTATTGATTACTAATGGTCATTTCTTATGTTGAGACTGCTGCTGCTAATAACGATGGCCATCTGTGATGATGACCCTTCATGATATTGCTGCTGTTGAAGGTAGTCATTAATGCCAATGCTTATAGTGATGCTGATAATACTGCAGTGCCCATTAAACTACAACGGTGCTGCTGATTAAACTGATGATGATCCTGGCTAAGGTGCTGCTGTTCCTGATGTTACGTCAATGCTGCTGAGACTGTTGATTTCTTATACTGCTGATTCTGCTGTTGATGCTGCTGGTACTGCCCGATGATAACTCAGATGTGACCGATACTGCTGATGCTACGGACTGCTGCCGTCGATTCTAGCACCGCTGTTACTGCTGATTATGCCGTGTCTGCCAATTCTGTCGGTGCTTCTAATACTGATGCCTGATATGTTGCTTCTGCTCATGATTCTGCTACTGCCAATTCTGTTGCTTCTGCTGATGATACAGCTGCCTGACGCAGCATCTGATCCTGCAGATTCTTCTACTGCTGCTCATGATGCCGATGCTATCGGATCACCTCAGCCCACCGCCGTCCACCCCATCCCCAGCCCATACGCACCTCCTGCAGGTGCAGCAGCTCGTGTCTGATGGCTTCGTGCTCGGCCTCCAGCTCGTCGTACCGCGCCTGCACCGCCTGCCGCTCCTCCAGCACGGCGAGCCCGTACTCGGCAGCCTGCACCTTCTCTCGGCTCGCCTCGGCCAGCTCGCGGCTCAGCCGGGTCACCTCGGCCCGCAGTGCCTCCACCTCGTCCGCGGCCTCCATGCCGGCCGCCGGTTCTTCGTCTCCTTCACCGGCAGTTGAAATTAAATCAGGAAAATTTTAAAATTTTGTGCCCTTTAATTTTTTTTAGGAACCCTATTTTAACGCCGTTGCGCGCTGCATTTTTTCCTCGAGCCTTTGCACATTTTTGTTGATTTATTCCGTTCTATTTATATATTGTTTTGTTTTCAAGCCGGCAGCTGCATTCGAAACACGGAGCCGCAGTCGCATTCAGCCGCCATTTCCCGCGAAGCCGGCTCCAGTCAGCGCTACTCCCGCCCACCTCGCCAGTTACCCCGCCCTCCCTCGTCCGTTACCCCGACCACCACGCCCCTAACCCCGTCCACCACGCCCCTGACCCCGCCCACCACGCCCCTGACCCCGCCCACCACGCCCCTGACCCAGCCCACCACGCCTCTCACCCCGCCCACCACGCCCCTCACCCCGCCCACCACGCCCTTCACCCCGCCTATCTAGTCAGTTACACCGCCCACCTCGCTCGTTTCTCCGCCCACCTCGCTAGTTTCCCCGCCCACCTCGATCATTGCCCCGCCCAACTCACCCGTTACTCCGCCCACCTCGTCCGTTACCTCGCCCACCGCGACCCGTTACTCCACCCACCTCGTCCGTTACCTCGCCCACCCGCGTCCGTTACCCCGCCCACCTCGACCGTTACCCCGCCCACCCGCGTCCGTTACCCCACGTACCTCGTCCGTTGCTGTTCGCCTTTTGGCGTCCTCTGGTCGAACACCGTTTTGAGACGAGGCTCAAAAGAAAGCTGCCTCTGGTGTGGACCAATCAGTTTCAAAGACAATGCATATATTATCAGAGTATATTTTTTGTTTGCATTCTGACCACAAGCATTGTGGTTAATGCAGACACGATTCCTTGTAAAAGGTTTCAGTTTGGTTTAACGTCTCAACACCTGTTTTGTTGCCAGAAAAAAAGAGGAAAAACCTGTTCTCATATTTTGGTACTGGCAAAGGAGGTCTCATGTCGTATGAATAACTCTACATGGAGATACTGTTAGGTTTACAGTGGCACATGAGCACAACGAACACGAATACACTCAACACGTTCGTCAGTAACACTGCTAGACCTTTAAAGTAAACATATAATCGGCAACGTTTTGGGTAAGTCCTTCATAATAGCACTTAACATTTGTCCCAGACACGGTGGATACATATAATCCGAGTTAGAGGCTGCACTTCTTTACACTATGGCGTCTGATGAGAGTAACATATTTGGAAAAAGATTCTGATCATTTTTGTTTGAGTTATGAATAATGACTTACTTATTAAAGCTTCAAATCTAGATTACTTATTAAAGGCAACTGTTTTGTATTACTCTACAGTATAGACCACGACCATCACTCCCAGGCACTTCCGTAGTTGTGGAGAATACTGTATAAGTAAAAAATAAAATCAGACATACCATATCTCCTTCATATATCTGTCTCTCTACGTAAAAAAAAACATGTTTACATACCCCATCAGCCACACGGCTTTGTTGTGAGTGCAGCAATTGATTAAAGGCGAGAAAAACTGAACCGGTTTCGACATTCAGTGCCTCATCAGTAGCAGTCAGGTTCGCCTCAATCAATTCTGGTGACCTGCCAGGTGCGTAGCTGGCAACCCAAACGGTTTACCCGTATTATTGTACATGGAAATCGAGTGTTTCAGGTCCATACGGCGTACATCCGTTTCAAAACAAGCACAAAAAAACCCGTGTACATTTGTTTGTGTTTCTCCCTTGTAATGGGACTTTGTAGAATGAACGTTGAGATTTAGAAGGGCACCAAGTGACTCAATACGGTCTGAATTGGTCTGTAATAAGCTATGCGGGTGTTTCTAGGTAAGCACCCGCTCTGTTAGATTTGCGTTCTAATCCATACCTCAAAGGACTCGTCTCAATTTTAGACGAGTAATTCTTGCATATACACATCTGCCAATGAATAAAACATCTGTCAGCTCTCCAGGATATGACTACCAGATGTTGCAGGCGAGGGCCCCCGCTATGTTAGATGTGGGTCTTAACTCATATCCACATATCCTAGGGGACCCACTAAGAGGGTACTTGTACTTGTTTTTAGACGTCTGTCAGCTTCCCCAGCCAGTGATACAAGCGAGCCTGACCGCTGCTGATGAGACACTGAATGTTGAAACCGGCCCAGAAGTTGTGCTTGTTTAGAACTAATGCTCGCTGCAAGTATACATAGATCTTGTTGGCTGCCGGGATGTGAATTTTTATTTTATTTCTTCATGTGGAGGGGCAGATGTTTGAATGAGACATTCTCTTGGGTTCGGCAACGATACACCACTTTGTTGCGCTATCATTTTTGGCCAAGGTCGCTTATGAAAAATAAGTTAATAGCTCAGTGGGCTTTACCTGGTTAAAAAAAAGAGTTCAAATTTTGATTTAAAGCTTTCGTGACTGCAGTAATTCATATTCTTAGTTTTTTCGGTAAAGTCACGTTGAAGAGAAACAACAAAATAACAAAATATATATAAAACAATAAAAAATTCTCACGACGTTTCGACCATAACTCAAACGGTCATCATCAGGTGTGTACACACACCTGATGATGACCTGATGATGACCGTTTGAGTTATGGTCGAAACGTCGTGAGAATTTTTTATTGTTTTATATATATTTTGTTATTTTGTTGTTTCTCTTCAACGTGACTTTACCGAAAAAACTAAAAAAAAGAGTTCAGTTTCTATTGATATATTTTTGAAAGTTATTTGTTTACCTCTCCTATACTTTGCACTCCTATCGTATTTTTGTATTGTTTGTTGTTGTAACGTTCATGACCCGCCCCAACGGCAAATCTGTGAAAAAGAGCTTTGCAGCTCATCGGATTCCCCAGTATAAATAAATATTGTTTTATAACAACAACAAAAACCCTACAACGCATAGGCGACGCTCCTTCCCGAAAGACGCTCCCATTGGATACAGGCCATCTTATGGGCGGGACCAGACGAGAGAGAACTCGCTAGTGATTGGCTGCTGCTAGTTTCGTCTCCGGTCCATTATTCGCGATGACCATTAGCAGGCGTCGATTGGGAGAGCCGCGCTTATGTGCGTTAGGCAATGTAATGTGACATTTGTCCGCATTTGTTGTGTGTGGAATGCCAAACACCCGGGGCGTAAACATTCACGTTATAAATTAACTCACCACGGAGTTCATTTGGAATGAGGTCAACAGTGGATTCCCACTACCAAGGGTTTTGTGAGGAAGGTGAAGTGGTCAGAATGAGCTGGCCAAATTAAAGGGAAGGATTTTTTTTTATTTAAAGCTTTCGTGACTGCAGGGATTAAATATTCTTGGTTCTTTCGGTAAAGTCACGTAATAAAAATATAAAACAAAAAAATATTTTTTATATTTTTATTATTTTATTGTTTCCCTTCTACGTGACTTTACCGAAAGAAAACAAAATATATTTTTTATATTTTTATTATTTTATTGTTTCCCTTCTACGTGACTTTACCGAAAAAAACAAGAATATAAAGGGAAGGATGTTAAAGGCGCATTTTTATCTAATTGTAATGCTTCTTCTTAAAGTTTGGCGGGAAGATTGTTCATAATAATGGTCGCGAAAGCCTACGTGTTAAACTGGGAAGATTGTTCAGAAACGTCCACGTGTTCATGTTATTAACGCTTTTCAACTAAAGTTGAAATTGTTAAGACTGTTCCCGTGTGTCCCGACGTCTGTAACGGAGGATAACCCCTAAAAGACGCTATCAAATATGAATCACAATTCAATTATAACAGTTGTATTTTGATTTAAAGCTTTCGTGACTGCGGGGATTAATATTATTGGTTCTTTCGGTAAAGTCACGTAGAAGGGAAATAATAAAACCAAAAAATCATCATCAGGATGATGATTGCTTGTGTTGCAGTCGAAACGTGAGAATTTTATTGTTTCCCTTATAAAGAACCAAGAATATGATAACAGTTGTGTTGCTACAATGTACAGGGGTTAAATTCCGATAGAACACAGGCCAAATGTAAACGAGTTGTTTAAAACTTGGGACCAAAACAAAAAAAATCAGCGCTAAAAGGCTGATATGGATGTTTCTGTTGCGCGTCGTCAGGGGCCGTCCATAAATGACGTCACACACCTGGAGGGGGGGGGGGTCAGACATTTGTGACGGGGGGGGGTGTTAGAGAAATGTGACGTCACATCAAAATGCGCAATTTTAAATAAATATAGAATTGTTATAACAACACTCCTACAACATCAGAGTGCAGTGTCACATTAAATACGCACTACAATGACAATAGTTTAAAGCGATTTGAAGCATGTTTTATTTACAACATGGAAATATGGTTTGGAGGGGGGGGGCAGAGCTTTGTGACGTCATGTTTGAGGGGGGGGGGTCTGATTTTTTGTGACGCCCTGTGACGAGGGGGGGGGGGTAAAAAATCGTCGAAAATCGCGTGACGTCATTTATGGACGGCCCCTCACTTTAAGATGTTCATGTTTTTGTTTGTTGCGCTTGCACCCGAGTCAAGAGCCGCATGGCTCACAGGGCTATGCCTAATGAATGAAACTTGAAAATGAATGACCTTGTTCACCGTGTGACTGCATAGCCATCTGGTTGCTTCCGACCTTCACTGACCCGCACAGACCAGCAAGGTCAAATCAGTCGTGGGGAGCCCCTCATCCAGCAGTAGATTGGCAAAAGGGTCTGTCTGCTCCATATAACATTGACTCTGGAGACGCCCACCTACGAAGTAAACATGGAAGGTTGGGCCAACGGTTTCCAACCACATCAGGATCTGTATCATGGAGAAATCAGATGAACTATGAAGCTGTTTTTCTCAGATGTCCGGGTAGGGGCGGGTCAGAAAGTTACAATACAAAAACACGATCGGAGTCCACATGCCAACGTTGGCCCTACGTTGCGTGTTTACTGGGTGACTCCACTCTCGCATCTTGCCGTTAAAGTCTCATCTCGGTTTAGTGAAAACGTAACCTCATCGATCCCAAAACTGAAGCACTCATCTTCAAAATTTAGTCCACTCTCATTAAAGACTCCAGTTCGTGAGTCTACCCCCAAAAGAGCTGACGTGCTGGAAAGCCCTGGGTGAAACCTTGGCGTTGCCAACTCATCCCAAGCTCTCGCTGTCTCCTGTCTCTATCGGGGCAACGTCATCAGCATACACTTTCTTTACCCAGCTACCGCTGAGACCCTCATCCATGCCTTTCATCACATTCAGACTCGACAACTGCAACTCTATCATGGGACCTCTCCTTTGCCAGTACCAAAATATGAGAATAGGGTTTTCCCCTT